GTGATAACATCCTTACTCTAGCATAAAGAGAGGGAATCTGATTTGGAGTGGGACTAGAATTCCCAGATCTCAAGTCTTAGCACTGAGTTTCCACGGTATAGAGAACAAATCTCAGGACAAGAGAACTGTCTTGAAAAATGTATCTGTATAAGCTGTTACAAGAAATATATTGTTTTGCAAGTAGACACGAGGCTTTATATGACTTCAGAGCATAATCTAAATACTGAGCTATCCTGTCTATCTGGAGTTTCCAGATTTCAGAAGCTGGACCTTCTTTTCCAGTTCTAAAGTCAGGGAGGAAGAACCTCAGGGTGAGAACATTGCCTTAAAATTGCATACATCTGTATGAATCTTGGCTCCTTGTTGTCATAGGCTGCTTTTTGAGCTGCTACTATAGATTATTTACTGTTCAAAGCAGAACCTGTAACACTTTATTTGGGTGGAGTACTATTCCCAGTAATTTGTTAAAGTAGTAATTGCAGAAGTGCTGGGAGGAAGCTAGGAAAGGGGGTTCTTTTCCTGTTCAACATGGAGTTTGAAAAACTCAGTTTCCAGCCACATAAATGTTTTCTTATTTACTAGACTCATTATTTGCATTACATACTCTGAGAAAGTGTGGTTGATGCTTAATGGCATCTCTGGGAGCATCCTTAGGGTTTGAATCCTGAAATCTCAGGCCCTTGGATACTCCTGATTGGTGGCTACAGTTAGAACTGTAACATGGGCAATTGGAAGGCTAGATCCTATCTCTCTCTCTCTTTCCCTCTCTCTCTCTCTCTCTCTTTTTCTTTCACACACACTATAGTCCCAATCTGGATCACGTGCCCCCATGCCTGAACTTTCTGTAGGGAAAAAAGTGATCTATTGAAACAAACGTATCCCATTTCACAATAGAAATAGGAAGCTCAGGGGCCCTAGTCCAGATCTGGGCCATAATGTGGACCAAATGTTTAAATCCCCCATTCTAGGATCTTGATGATTTTGTTGTATGTGCCTTCAAGTCATTTTCAGTTTATGGTAACCTTGTCATTGAATTTTCTTGGCAAAATTTGTTCAGTGGGGGGGGGGGTCCCCTTGCCTTCCTTTGAGGCTGAGAGCATGTGTCCAAGATCACCCAGTGGGTTTCAGGGTCAAGTGGGGAATTGATCCCTTGTCTCCAGAGTCATAGTCCAACACTCAAACCACTAAACCACACTGGCTGTCAGCTTCCTTGATGATTACTCTGTACTTATGCAGTGCTTACGTGAAGTTCAAGAGAAAAGAAAAAAAGACATAGCTGCTTGCTAGCTATATCTTGAAAGTTTGGTACTCAAAGGAAAAAGTGTGACAAAGGAGACCTGAGAAAGATAGCCACATCACCAATACATCATCCCTCCACCAGGTTTTCCAATTCCACTTTTTTATCTATACCCATAGAAATTGTGCTGCTGTACCACACCTTGTATACATATAAACATCAGATTGATTTGTAGTCTCAAAACAGGTGACAGAAACCTGAGAAAGACAGAGGAGCATGGTCCCTTGGTTGATAACAGCATGTGGTTGCCCCATAACCAGTCAGTAAACCATGTGTGACTATTCTGGATGAAAAGTCTCATCTGGAAATGCCCTTGTTGACAAAGCTCTACTCACATATAGAGATAAAAGTAGTCAGTGTATTCTGAGCTGAGTTCAACAAAATCACCCAGGATAGAAACCATTGAAGCCTCATATTTGTACTGATATTGCAACAAGAATTTGTAAGTTTTGGGTGGAATGTCAAATTGTCCTGCTTTGATTTGACTCTTTCTCATTACCTCACTGCCCTCTCTTTGGAGACCAAGAGTACCCAATCTCTTTCCTAAAACTCTCTCCGCATTCTTTTCCCAGCATGACACTCTTTCAAAGAACACTAACATTTTCTTCTCCATCTGCAGTGGTGGGTGATAGCCAAGAATGGGAGAGGACAAACGTTTGAAACCTTGCATGAAGTTCTTGCGATTGCAGGATTTCTGATAATTTTTGCAGACTCAGATTTGAATAATGCTGAGACATTGCAAAGGTGCATCCCATCCAAAACTGAACTTGCAGATTTGCTTCCTAGCTGCTTCACTTATTAACTGCAATGGAGCTAGTGCTGCAAGAATTTTTTCATAGGCCATGCATAATTTACTGGGGTGGAGGAGGGTTTTTTAGTACTGAGATCTCTGCATCGGCAAAAGGTTGGAGGGATGTCCCTTTTGCACTATTCCAATGGTATGATAGCCATGCAGTCACTCTTCGTAAGGAATTCCCACTTACCAGCTACCCAACTATCTCAAAGTGTGGTGTGAGAGGTATTTGTAGCAGGTATACTCTTCCACCAGCCTAAAATAAGGAGTAGGCAGGCATACCATATGGTTTCTTATGCTACTAGTGGTGTCATGATAAATTTTCAAATGCAGCCACCATTCATGGTAGCCACCATAGCCATGTACCCTGTGAGAGGACCAAATTAAAACAACTCTGTTGATGTGTGTATATATATACATGTGTGTGTGTGTGCATCTGATTTCTGCAGTTCTTTTGCAAAATTAATTGGCCCTAATTGCTCATTCAAGATCAAGCCATCCCAAAAGTCTTTGCATTGTGCCAAGGGCTGTTGTTGTTAATTGCCACCAAGACAACTTCAACGGATGGCTACCCTATGAATGACAAATCTTCACATTACCTTGTTATCAACAGTTATCAATAATAATAATAATAATAATAATAATAATAATAATAATAATAATAATAATAATTTCTTACCCACTTCTCCCTATGGAACAACAACAAACAATACATAATGTCAATTAAAAGAGCTTATAACCCCAATACGTATTAAAATCTATCAATACATACTTTAAAATTCCTACTTTAAAAATAATCTGAATAGGCCTGGCAGGAGGGACTGATATTTTAAAAGCAGACACAATTTCCAGCTGACTGCTCTCTTCTGGCAGGTTATTCCACAACCTGAGGGTGGCTGGAGAAAACATTCTCTGTGTAACACTCATCTTGGTTTGGGTTGCTTGAAGTAGATGTCTCCCAGAGGACCTGAATCTAAGGGTCAGATTATGGGTGCATCTACACTGTAGAAACAATGCAGCTTGACACTGCTTTAACTGCCATGGCTCCATCCTAGGATTTGTAGTTTGGTAAGGCACTAGCACTCTTTGGCAGAAAAGGCTAAAGACCCAGGATTCCGTAGGATGAAGCTACAACCCTTAAAGTGGTGTCAAACTACATTATTTCTACAGTGTAGATGCACCCTATAGGGGTGGAGGTGCTCATGTAGGTAACTTAGACCCAAGCCATGTAGGGTTTAAAAGGTAATAATCAACACTTTGTATTTGCCTGGAAACTAATTGGCAACCAGGGAAATGATTTTAAGATTGGTGTGATATGGTCACTCCTTGATGTACCAGATCCAAGCTGTCTCTAAACTTGGTACAGAGTGGAGATATCCCAATGTACAGCACATTGCAAAAGTCCAGCCTGCCAGCCATGCCTCTGAAGGAGAGCTGACACTTGCCAGGAGTAACGAAGTTCAGAGGGCATGGACAGCAAGCACAATCACACTTCATACCATAGCCTATGCATTCAGCAAACACATTGGGGGAGGCACATGGACACCCATATCCAATTTGGCCCTTTTTGCCATGGCAATCCTATACAGCATGACCTCCTGCAAGCTTACCACTTATGCCTTGTAGACTGTTGAGTTAGTGTTAGCAGATCCCAGGGCCTGACCCTGAGCCTCCAGTTTTTGTGAATCATCTCCAAGTGGGAGATGACAAAGCAAATTCTCCAGGTTTGAAGGGCTTACCTCCAGGCAAGAGGAAAGGGATGAGTGCAAATAGAGCAGCAGCTTGCTACAGTTTGCAAGGTTCAATTGATTTGTTGCAGCAACTTGTAAAGAATCTCCATTAAGTCTATGTATTGACTTGATAGCTTCCTTCTTCTCTCATAGTTATGGCACCAGGGCTCACCCTCTGCTCTTCTCTGCATGAACTTTCTGGTTTGAAATAAGATTAAATGTTCCTTATTCAGACTAGGAGCAGCCCCCTCAGCTAAAGTTTCTGTCTTAATTTCCATAAGGGAAAATATGTGTACCTGTGTGTCTGAATGACAAGCTGTGAGCATTAAGCATTCATGCATAATGCTTAATGACATCACCAGAAGCTGTTCCATGGTCTCAGCTTTTGGCCTGAAAATCCCACTTCTGTTTTTATTCCTTACAGGCACTAAAACCAGAAATTTTATAGAATCCATGATGTGCCACCGCACACACATATTGGTTGTGTTCAGCTGCAAAAAAACACCTCACACTCCATTGCTGTTTCTATCTATGATCCAAGGAAGTAATGCAAATTCCATTAGAGACTTAAGGGTTGTTGTTTTTTAACTCAGAACAAAGTATGAATATGCATATTTGAAAATAACACAATGCACAGCACTTAAAAACTACAGCAAATTAAATCGGAACATGTCATGTATTCAAAAATTAACACATTCATTTTTTTAATAGACAGGATAACTACCTTTGGCTAGCAGCCAGGCTCTCTCCAAAATTAGTCTGACAAAATGGTGGTGTAGTGCCAAAAGGCTATTATATAATTTCTCATTCTTATTAGTTTTGCTCACCTAGCTATTGTAATTTTTTATGGCCTGGATGAAAAAATGAGGAAATTGAATGTAACTCTATTTGATTCTTGGCATGAAATTGGCTTGCGCATGGGGACATGGAGAGGTGGCTTCAGGAGTGGAACTGATCTGCAGTAACAGAATTCCAGCATTCCCTTGTTTTAAAAAGGCAAGTTTCTAGCTCTCATGGCTGGAGGGGGGGAGTCTACATTAATGGACCTCCTCTGAACTAATCTTTTCATGATGATCCCACCATAAGTCAGAAATGGCTTGAACCCACACAACAACAGACTCTGTAGAAAGTTTCAGTCTCGATGAAGTCAGCAACTCCCATACTTTGGAGAAAGCCTCTACCAGTCATCAAATGCTACAAAACAGCTTTTGCCATCCAGCTAAGGGAATAGAAAGAAGGCTATTTTGCAAATACCTGGAGCATAATTACTGCAGTATGAGACAGTCCATGGTATGAAACATTCGATCAAAGCAAGATTTGTTGTACTTTGCTGCTTGAGATGCATTACTAAGCCTATTATAATTCCATGGGTCAATGATTAGATATTGTTTTGGGTATAGAGGAGGAACAGGTGGAAATGAGAGCTTGTACCCAGATCATTAGGTTGATGTGAATCCCCCATCTCTGATAAAAGATAGTGTGTCAAATGCTGGAAGACCATGCTTAGTGAGGGCTGAGAATTTGATAATAGTGCCAGATGATCAATTGATCTTTAAGCAATGGGAGTGATTGACATCACTATGGGGGGGGCGTTTCCATTGAGTGGGACATATATGCTGAAACAGGTATGGGACTGCATACTCATTGAACCCAGTCCCTGAATTTTCAAGGAAACAGGAAGAATGTTACCTATGAGAACATTTCCAAAGCATTCTTGATCTAGTTGGAGAGCTAGACCAATCTGAACACACTAATTCTCTTTTGAATTTGTAAGCTTTGTTTTGTGTGCTTTCATGATGTTCTAACATATGACCATCCTAAGGCAACTCTATCATGGCAGAATCTTTTCAGAGGGGGTTTGCCCATGTATTCCTGTGAGGTTGAGAGTGTGTGATTTGTCCAAGGTCACCCAGTGGGTTTCCATGGCTAAGCAGGGTATCCAACCCTTGTGTCCCAGTGTCCTGGTCCAACATCCAAACCATTACACCACACTGGTTCTCTGTAAGCTGAGCTCCAGTAAATGGGAGACCAACAAGCAATACCAGAGATCTCCAGATAAAACTAGAAAAGAATCCTGCCTTAAACATTGGACAGCTGCTGCCAGTCAAGGCTGACCACAGCGTGTAAGATGGACCAATGATCTGACTCAGTAGGAGAAAAAAAGCAGGTTCTAATGTTCTAGTCCACATGTGCAGAAAGACAACACTTCATCACTGTCTGCTAGAATAGAATCATTTTTCATTTACCAGTGAGAATACCAATGGGTATAATTCTCACGCTGGTTACCTGCTGTTTCAAAGGGCTGCTTGTTATTAATCTGCTTGTCTTTCAACTACAAGTGCAACAGTAGCATGAATATGAAGATCTTAACCTGAGTCT